ATGCGCTGTGTACACATCTCACGAGGAATCCCGAGCTTATGTGCTGACTACATATTTTAACCTGTCAATGCATTTTATTTTTATTTCTGTGTACACCTATCCCCCGATTTACACGTTTTTCTCAGGAACGTATCTACCGTGTAAATCGGGGGATAGGTGTACTCTGTAAATTTCCCTCGTGGCTTTTGTTTACCATTCATAGTTTGTTCTTGCCTGAAATAAATTGTTGTCTCATCCCGAAGTTGGTCTTCCCTAATTTTCCACGTGACAATATTTTCTCCTATAGAAGAAATTTCGTGCCTAAAAGCAATAGAAATTTGTCAATTTTATCATTTTTTAAAAAGAAACTTTTCCCTAGAGACCTGATGTTTTTACTTTTATATTGATACAAGAGATTACTTCATTGAATTATAAATGTAAAATCGGTTATTGACAAAAAAATATGTACAGACACACGTTTGTTTTTTTAAATCAAATATTCTTCCACTAAAATGTAAGCTTTAAAGCAACAAGCATCATCAAATTATGATACCCAAATGGTTTAAACGTATACACATATTCACCTTCTTTGATGAAGAAGGACATTTTTCCGAGAGCTTCTATAATTGTTTTCTAATATAATAAGCTGAGACGTTACCTACTCTAATGTAAATATTGTCTCGGTAGTTTTTAAAAATAATATATCCATACTAGCGGATGTACCCGGCTTCGCCCGGGTTTTACCCGAGTAAAGGTTTGTCTAACGAACATTTGTTAAAACAATTCTCTATAAACTTATTTTTAAAAAAAGATACATTTTGATAATTTGAAACTCGTAGATTTGAATCTCTCGATAAAGTGAACATTTTTTCCCGGTCCCTTGAAAAATACTCGATAAGTTGAATAAAATCAATATTAATTGGTTCCCTCGGTAATTGGAAGTTAAAGGAATAGTATCTTGCCTTGGAATTGTATCATCATCATCATTTAGTTAAATCTACAAATCTGCAAATAATTCTAAGGACATTCAAGATATTCAAGAAATTATTTTTCAAAACCCTTCCCGGGGATATACCTAATAATATCCCAAAATTTCACGGTGATTGGATGTATGGTTTTTGAATCTATAGAGTACAGACAGACAGACATTCAATTTTATATATATATATAGATTGGAAGAGATTATAAGACTTCTTATTACTAGTTGTGATATTTATAAAGAACACTCCTCGAAACGGGGCTCTGGCACATTTGTAAGTGTAAAGTCGAACTGCTTTTCACATGTGTAAACATGTAAATGCACTTACAGTAAAAGCAGTCGCCTACGTTCCACTCACCATGATTATCATGGCCTATATATCACGTATACTAAGGATAAAAGGGATAAGAACAATAAACACTCTTCGAAAGCCTATTCAAATTTAAAAAAGAGAGAATTGATTTTCCCCGAATGTCGCTGATCATTTTAGGAAAATTTTTCAATTTTCTCTTTTCTCTACATAAGAAAAAAAAAGTTTAAACGTTCAAATTTGAAATTATATAATTTCTGATCTTTTTTTCTCTTTCTCCCTAAATTAAATAATTAGCATTTGAATAATGTACCCCCCCCCCTTTTTCTCTTATTAGATTTCCTTCATTGAACTTTTATATATTAAAAAAAGTATATTATTTCCATTTGGTTTCTCTTTAAAGCAGATAAGGGTCTTCCAAATATTTCAACAAAAAAAACTTTGGTCAAAAAAAAAAAAAAGTTGGAAGAAGGCTTCATGGTTCAACACCCCCTGAACTTTCTATTAAATCAGGATTTAATTAAACTTTTAATCATCTTCACATCAATGTCGTTTTAATTGATGGGGAGCTCCCCAATAAATATATTTTCTATTTTTACACAAAACCCACCCAATTAACTCCCAAATTAATTATATTTTTTCGTCCCATTTCGATTGTTTGAGAAGGAACCATCCTAAGAGAGTTTCTAAACATTGCCAAAAAAACTATGTTGTTGTTGTTGTGTCAAATAAAGAGCCTCAGATGTCTCCGTACATCTCTATCACAGCAGTCGTTCTCTATCTTGGGTGTGTATACTGTATTGTTGTTGTTGTCGTGTCCAATGTAGAGTCTCAGATGTCTCCATACATCTCTATCACTGCAGTCGTTCTCTATCTTGGGTGTGTATACTGTATTGTTGTTGTTGTCGTGTCCAATGAAGAAACTCAGATGTCTCCATACATCTCTATCACAGCAGTCGTTCTCTATCTTGGGTGTGTATACTGTATTGTTGTTGCTGCTGTGTCCAATGAAGAGTCTCAGATGTCTCCATACATCTCTATCACAGCAGTCGTTCTCTATCTTGGGTGTGTATACTGTATTGTTGTTGTTGTCGTGTCCAATGAAGAGCCTCAGATGTCTCCGTACATCTCTATCACAGCAGTCGTTCTCTATCTTGGGTGTGTATACTGTATTGTTGTTGTTGTCGTGTCCAATGAAGAGTCTCAGTTGTCTCCGTGCATCTCTATCACTGCAGTCGTTCTCTATCTTGGGTGGGTATACTGTATTGTTGTTGTTGTCGTGTCCAATGAAGAGCCTCATATGTCTCCGTGCATCTCTATCACTGCAGTCGTTCTCTATCTTGGGTGTGTATACTGTATTGTTGTTGTTGTCGTGTCCAATGAAGAGTCTCAGTTGTCTCCGTACATCTCTATCACAGCAGTCGTTCTCTATCTTGGGTGTGTATACTGTATTGTTGTTGTTGTCGTGTCCAATGAAGAGCCTCAGATGTCTCCGTACATCTCTATCACAGCAGTCGTTCTCTATCTTGGGTGTGTATACTGTATTGTTGTTGTTGTCGTGTCCAATGAAGAGCCTCAGATGTCTCCGTACATCTCTATCACAGCAGTCGTTCTCTATCTTGGGTGTGTATACTGTATTGTTGTTGTTGTCGTGTCCAATGAAGAGCCTCAGATGACTCCGTACATCTCTATCACAGCAGTTGTTCTCTATCTTGGGTGTGTATACTGTATTGTTGTTGTTGTCGTGTCCAATGAAGAGCCTCAGATGTCTCCGTACATCTCTATCACAGCAGTCGTTCTCTATCTTGGGTGTGTATACTGTATTGTTGTTGTTGTCGTGTCCAATGAAGAGCCTCAGATGTCTCCGTACATCTCTATCACAGCAGTCGTTCTCTATCTTGGGTGTGTATACTGTATTGTTGTTGTTGTCGTGTCCAATGAAGAGCCTCAGATGTCTCCGTACATCTCTATCACAGCAGTCGTTCTCTATCTTGGGTGTGTATACTGTATTGTTGTTGTTGTCGTGTCCAATGAAGAGTCTCAGTTGTCTCCGTGCATCTCTATCACTGCAGTCGTTCTCTATCTTGGGTGGGTATACTGTATTGTTGTTGTTGTCGTGTCCAATGAAGAGTCTCAGATGTCTCCATACATCTCTATCACTGCAGTCGTTCTCTATCTTGGGTGGGTATACTGTATTGTTGTTGTTGTCGTGTCCAATGAAGAGCCTCAGATGTCTCCGTACATCTCTATCACAGCAGTCGTTCTCTATCTTGGGTGTGTATATTGTATTGTTGTTGTTGTCGTGTCCAATGAAGAGCCTCAGATGTCTCCGTAAATCTCTATCACAGCAGCAGCAATGTCCACTATCTTGGGTGTGTAAAGCTGCTGCTCTGGGTCCATGTCAATTTTCTGCAAGGCTGCGACCATTGCTGGACACGAGAATATCTGGGTAGATGTTAGTTCCACACCAGGACAAAACGATGAAATACATATATGAAATCAGGAGATACCTTTTTCTTAATTTATTCACCTGTTCCAAGTACAATTCAATTTTTGTACTATTTTTTGACATGTAAGCTTCTTTTTTAAAAATGAAAACAATTTTCTAATGCCCTCTTTGCAATGGTAAAATAATAGGAGGGCCTGGATCATCAGTGATGAACCCTCCCATATATCACTAATTAATTAGGTAAATAATTGAATAGTTTGATAAATAGGAATAGGATTTGTAATGATTAAGAATAGATAAATTAATAGGTAAATGAATATGTATATATGTGAGTGTAAATTAAAAAGGCATATATTGGATCAAAATATCATTTATTTTACCAATATTTCAGTTGGCTGAACGCGTTATGCAAATATATCTATTGCCTATTGAAGAGGGAGGGACCTTTGTTCGAAAGCTCGCATCATAAAAAAAAAAAAAGTCAACGTTTTGCCCGAACAACCTTCTGTATATACAAACAAAATGATAAGAAATGCAACGCAAACGATTCTGATAGCAAGAATACAGATTACCCAAGATGGTGGCTAAAGTTTATAGCGAGTTAAGCCTAGAACGTGCGTCATCTCTCGGGGCTTATAAAATACTAGCCGAATGACCCGGGCAACGCCCGTGTTTTACCCGATTGAATGTTTTGATTCAAATACTATTTGTTACAAGTATAAATTGGCGCCTTAATTAATTGCATATGTTAGTTAATAACTATAGCCTATGTGCTTTATCTGTCTATGTACTGTTGGCTTCCGTAGGCGTCTCTTACTGGGAAAAAGAAAGAGAGGATTCCATTTGGTTATTATCTAATATATGCATTTATTTAGGGAGCGACCCGCTCCAACACAATAGTTACATAAATAGCGAGTGGAGGGGGGGGGGGGGGCAAAGGTGGCGTGACCGTAGCCAACCAATAGGAGGGCGCCATTCCAAAAAAAAAAAAAAAAGCAAACGGTGACAGAGAGAGATGACTGATTAGGAAAGACGCTCGTAACTGTATATAGAATAATCGGTGAACAGCCAATATTATAATGTATTCAAACTCAATGGTTGTGTTCATATATTTCGTTTAGGTCGATATAAATCTAATGTGATATGCAAAGAGAAATTTCCTGGTAGCTCGAATTAGCAGTAAAAAAATGGAGAAGCGCCATCTATCGGAATAAATATATACTAAAATTTAATATTTTAATATTTATTTATGAAGATATTCTCCATTTTGAACATTATCATTTAAGTACAACACCAGGTGTTTCTAAGAGGTCACCCTCCCAAGTACTGACCGGGCTCTACATTGCTTAACTTTGTGATCGGATAAGAACCGGTGTTTTCAATGTGCTATTGAAGTAGACAAAAAAAAAGTGTCCATTACGGGATACGAACCCAGGTCGTGGATGTTGAAAACCACCGTTTTATACCATTCGTTTAACGACCCATATTATCATTTAAGTAGTCAGAGTTCTTTTTTTCCATCATTCTAAATATTTAAACCATACCTTATTCACCTCTATAAACCAATTACAAAAAAGCTATTATAATGAAGTAGTTTTGAAAATAGAGCAATCCATAAATAAATCTTTAATTAAAAAGGTATATATTGGATCAAAATATCATTTATTTTTCCAATATTTCAGTTGGCTGAACGCCAACCTTTATCAAGGTGTTTTTAAAAAGGCATATATTGGATCAAAATATCATTTATTTTACCAATATTTCAGTTGGCTGAACGCCAATTATTTTGTCCATAATATAAATATATATATCAATTTTTTTTCTCCCCATTGAATATAACAAAATATTTTGAAAACCTAATGCTGTTGACGTTATGTGGCGCTGAGTTTGTTGTTGACACACATTAAATATGTTTTAATACCTTGATAAAAGTTGGTGTTCAGCCAACTGAAATATTGGTAAAATAAATGATATTTTGATCCAATATATGCCTTTTTAACTAAATGAAGTAGTATGTTTTTATTATAAGTTTCTGTATATAAAAGCATTACCAATTTTGCTCTATATACTGAATTATTATGACGTATAGGTATTTATATATTTTTTATAATACAATATAATGCGGCTCATGATTGTAGAATGACATTTGAAAATTATCCCGCATGTGTTTCTTTTGAACGAAATATATATTATATTGTAAAATACAATATAACGCGGCTGATGATTGTAAAACGAAAATTGCAATTATACCGCGAATGTTTCTTTTTAAACAAAAATCGAAATTTATTTTTAAAGAGAAATAACGACCATTTCTAACTTTAAGGATGAAGTATGAAAGGGTGAAAATATGAAGAGTAATGGCGAACGGAAAAATAAAAGTGTCCAGGGGCGGGAATCGAACCCAAGCCTAGTGGACATGGCATCTGCCCGGTAAGCGGAAGGTCGTGGGTTCGATTCCCGCCCCTGGACACTTTTATTTTTCCGTTCGCCATTACTCTTCATATTTTCACCCTTTCATACTTCATCCTTAAAGTTAGAAATGGTCGTTATTTCTCTTTAAGAATAAATTTCGATTTTTGTTTAAAAAGAAACATTCGCGGTATAATTGCAATTTTCATATTATATTGTATTATAAATTAACTTTATATAATATTTACGAACGGAAAATATGTCCAGGTTAGCCTAGTGGACATGGCATCTGCCTGGTAAGCGGAATACTGTGGGTTCGATTCCCATCCCTGGACACTTTTATTTTTCCGTTTATCATTACTCTTTACAATTCATTCTTTCCTACTTTATCCCTAAGGTTAGAAATGATCGTTATTTCTCTCCTTAAAATAAATTTCGATTTTTTCGTTCAAAAGAAACACATGCGGGATAATTTTCAAATGTCATAGGTATATTTGTAACACTGTAAAAAGAACCTAAAGTACATAGCTACTTTTCTGAAGGTGGAATCGCCCTCGACAGAGAAATTATCTATAAAAAACCGTCAAACAATTCTTAGAACAGGAGAGAAACCACCAACGTCAGCTGTCCAAACCAGGAGATTGAGTTCTGTGCACGATGGATTGATGGAAGTGCTGAAGAAAATTTACATATTGAACTCCTTCTACTTTTCAATTCATTTCTCTCTTAACCACTCGATTAAGTTACAGCCGCACGGTATTCTATAAGGCTTTCACTTAGTTGTTATCGACTCTCTCTCCAAGAGAAATAATTGGTTTGAATTTCCCACTCGAGTAACTCTTTTTGAAGGAATTTCTTACCTCTTTCCTCTTTTACTTGTTAACTGTAGACCAAGGTTTTTACGGATTAACTATGAACGACAGTTAGTTTTATGTTTTAATAAAATTAGTTTTTGATTAATAATAATTATAAAACACTTAAAGTTGCACAGCATAAGTTTCTTTTCTGTGAAAAATCAATATTTATTTCAAAGAGATATATTTACTATTTTTAACTTTTTTGGATGAAGTATGAAAGGGTGAAAATATGAAGAGTAATGGCGAACAGAAAAATAAAAGTTCCCGCCCCTGGACACTTTTATTTTTCCGTTCGCCATTACTCTTCATATTTTCACCCTTTCATACTTCATCCAAAAAAGTTAAAAATAGTAAATATATCTCTTTGAAATAAATATTGATTTTTCACAGAAAAGAAACTTATGCGGTGCAACTTTAAGTGTTTTATAATCATACGCCGCAGTCCTTTATAATAATAATTATATTTATTTATTGTTGTTATATATATATATGTTTTGAATATTTTGTTGTTGTTGTTAGATAAAGGGTTGATAAGACAAAGGATCGATAAGATAAAGGGTTGAGGTGCAGTCGTGATAAGAAAAAGATAATTATAGCTTTTATTTTCAATTACTTGAGGAAAGATATTACACATTAGTTATTTTCACATTCTATAGAATTTATAAAGTTAATCCTATATTAGTGATTTAAAAGGATAGATATGTTAACTACGCATATTTACAACAAAACTATACAACAAAACTGGATGTCTTTCTAAAAACGATGATAACAAAAGTAAAATTATCAATGAATAAAATAAAATATATATTTTTTAAAATATAGAAATATTTAAGTTTTTAGAATATATAATATATATATATATTAATAGTAATTTTTTTTTATATTTGGAAAATAGAGGAAAAGTAAACTATTAAGAACTACAGATTTTGAATTAATTTATATATACATACGCGTTCGTGGATGGCTTTTCTTAATTTATCAAGAAATTGGGTTGGCCAAATATCAGGGAACAGGCTAAATCAATGAATAGTTGATTTCTGTTCCACCAGATGGCGCTTTTACTTCTGAAAAGCACATGTGCTCCTGGTCAGGATATGCCTTTTTATTTTTAATATCAACACCTGACATTTTTATTTATTTTTTCTATTGCTTTTTTCATATATATATATGTAGTGCTCGCATAAAGCGTGTAAGTGGTAGAAATATATTGTTACTATTCAATTTCTAGCTAATACACGAAACAGTACGCTCCCAATATATATATATATATATATATATATATATATATTGTTTTGAAAATAGAGCAATCCATACTTAATTCATTAGATAATAAAAGGCATATATTGGATTTAATAAAATATTTATTTTGCCAATATTTCGGCTGGCTGAACGCCAACCTTTATCGAGTCATTACATTTTTGTATACACAAACTCAGCGCCGCATAGTGTTATAATATCACAGTTGAAATCAATTAAAATACAGAGTATAATGGGAGCGCGTACTGTTTCGTGTATTAGTTAGAAATTGAATAGTAACAATATATTTCTACCACTTGCACGCTTTATACAAGCACTGCACATTACCTTACTCTAACTATCTACATAGGTTTATGATACGAGATTGTTACATTTTTCTATATGGTGTACGGGTAAACATGGATAGAAAATTACTAACTAGGGTAAAATATTGTTAGCTAGATTTTGTGGTTTAAAAGTTGCGATAAAATCATAAAGCTTATCTTTACCCTTTTTTATTCTGAGACTAGAATTTAACCTGTTTTTGACGACATTGAAGTAATTTTATTTTCTTCAGAAAAAAAAATTCCTAATACGGGATTCGATCCTGAGTCATGGCTGTAGAAAATGGACAGTTTATACCACTGGTCCATCAACTAAATCTCTATTTGTCACTATATCTCTAGTTGTCAACAGTAATCGAAAATAAATAAGCTTTCGTCTCTCTCTCTTTTCGATATGTATATATTAACACGAAGCAATAACGCGCCATCTATACATATAAAATGAAAGGATTTAAAAGCACGAATGTTTCTTTTCTACATAATACAAACTTCTACTGTCCTTACTGCCATGAAAAAATATATTGAATGTAATTCTACTGTCCTATAAGCTTATGTCCATAGTTTTCTTGAAAACCTTTTCTGAGATTCCATCCTTCAGTGCTGCGTATATAAGCAGAATCGTCCAATACAGTATTAAAGCTCTGAGAAGCGGTCTGGTGGATTAAATTGGCGAAACCGCTGGGAGGGTTCACCCCTGATGAGCCAAGAGCCCTCCCAATATATTTTTTTCATCGCAGTAAGGGCAGTAGAAGTTTGTATTATGTATAAAATAAACATTCATGCTTTTAAATCTTTTCATTATATATATATATATAGCTCAAGTTTATTTCTAATAAATTATTTTCTCCAAACTTTTAATGACCCCAACATCTATTTCAATTTGCATAGACGCGCGCATATGCATTTTATCTTTCATTTTTCATCATTGATTATTACAGACGTACGAATTTGTAGCCTACCTCCATTTTCATCACATATATATATATTTATATTCTGAAATATTCTTAGGAAATATAGATATTGAAAAATGTTTTTTTATCGTGTGTAGGAAAATTCGCTCACCGTTCCTCCTACATATCTCTCTTAATGTATATGTCTAGACATATCTCTTACAAATGGATATTTCATGTTTCAGAAAAAAACTCCATTAATATATATATCCCCATTTTTACGAAAGAAAATTTCAATATTAAAATAGGTAAAACATTTGAATAAAACATTATTTTGAATATTAAAGCTAGTGTTATTAACTACTGTTGTTTAGATGGAATTCATATATATACAGTGTTGCCGGTCATTCTCATAGAATAAAAGAAGATATAATATAGATATCCTTTAGTTTTATTATTATGATTATTTTCAGTCAAAAATAAAGCTATCACTTCGTGTTGTAGATAGAATTAATATATAAAGTGTTGCCAGTCATTCTCATAGAATAAAAGAAGATATTTATAGCCTAGATATCTCTTCGTTTAGTGTATTATTATTTTCATTAAAGGTAAAGCTATATATCACTTCTGTTATAAATAGAATTCATATATACAGTGTTGCCGGTCATTCTCATAGAATAAAAGAAGATATTTTATAGCCTAGATATCTCTCTTCTTCGTTTAGTGTATTATTATTTTCGATAAAAGGTAAAGCTATCACTTCGTGTTGTAGATAGAATTCATATATACCGTGTTGCCGGTCATTCTCATAGAATAAAAGAAGATATTTTATAGCCTAGATATCTCTCATTTAGTGTATTATTATTTTCATTAAAGGTAAATATATATATCATTTATATATCATGCACATCCCTTGGGAGAAGTGCCTGGTATAGCTCCTCGGCTATCCTTTTCATCAGATGGGATATTTTATCTTCCTCATTCATATGAGGATCTACCTCTTTTCAGAGGCGCAGGACGTCTTGAATGTAAAATTCGATGCTCTCGCCTTCTAATTGTGCGCGAGTTTTTAAGTATTTTCTCGGCTCGCAGCCTTGAGCTTTCTTTTTTTCCAAATACATTTTCTAATTGTGACATGAACTCCGTCCAGATCAGGATGCTTTCCTTATTGTTTTCAAACCATTTGAGGGCAGTGCCAGTCAGATAGTAATAGACGTTGGGGAGACAAAGGGTTTCATCCCATTGGTTGTGCTTCGCCACACGTTCATACCCTTTTAACCAGCTACGGGGATCTTCAGCACCCTCACCAGAGAACATCGAGGGGTTTCTAGGTAGATGTTGTACAAAAAATGAACCTACCTGAGTTGTTGCTTCTTTCTTGATGTTCATGGTTGTTTCTTCTTGCTGAAGATATTCAATTTTTCTTTTTTTTCTTAAGGGATATCGGTCCAGCTTTTCAACAGTTGTAGCGTAGAAATCAAGTCTGTATATCTTAAGATGTAAGCGTATTTATTGATGACGTCAGCACGACCAGTCGACAATTATCAACAATTCAACAAAACTATCTACAGCTAGAGAATCTTGAACAAACAGGCAAAGAAATATTTTAAAGATGATTTTACAAATACAGAGTAATATATATTTTTATAATCTGTGTCATTGAATAATATTAAATTAAAAAATATAATATATTTCTTCGCCACAATATATACACATATATCTGTTATGATAAAT